CCCACTGCCATTAGGTTGATTCTGACTCATAATGACACCTTATAAGGGTTTTCAAGACTAAATCTTTAAGGAAGCAGACAGCCTGAGTTTTCTCCAGTGGAGTAGCTAGTAGGGTTGAGCCACCAGCCTTTTCGTCAGCGGTCCAAAACTTATCCCACAACACTTGCAGGGCTCCTTTTAAGTAAATGATTGTTGTTTTCACTTTGTCTGTTTTTCAGAACTCAGAGGTGGCTGATAAAAGGGCCTGGTTTCTCATTTAGTTACCCATTTCAAAAATACTTACTTAGTGGCTTTGGTGTTCTAGGCAGTGGGGAAACAGCAGTAAACAAGACAAAGTCTTTGTTCTGTGATGTTTATGTTGTCACTGGGCTAAGTAGTAATCAAGCAGGGAAACTTCCAGCTGGTGGCAAGTGCTGCAGAAATCACTAAAATTGGTTGGTGTAACTGTTTGGCAGAAGTCCTGGTGTGGCGCTATGGGCTAATGCATCAGACTGCAAAATTGTTTGAACTGCAAGGTCAGTGGTTCAAGCTCACCAGCTGCTCCTTGGAAACCCTGTACAGGGTTGCTATGGATCAGAATAACTAGATGGCACTTAACAACAACAATTGTTTGGCAATTTGTATTAGGTGGTCATAGGATGCTTCTTTGAAGTAGTTACTATGAGCCATTGAGTGACCTATAGGACAGTGTAGCAAAACCCCATATAGTTTCCTAGGCTGTAATCGTTATTAGGTCTTTTTTCCCTCAAGAATCACTGATGAGTTCAAATAGCTGATATTACATTTGGCAATCAGGTGCTTATCAACTGCACCACCAGAGTTCCCTCCCTTCAAGATAGTGGAATCTGAATTGGAATATGAATGATAAGAAAAATACAGCCATGAAAATCATCGGCAACTGATTTCTATGCATATCATATCATCAGGAGAGAGGCTCCATATCGGGGAAGGAACTTACTGTATTTTAAGAACAGAAAGCAGGAGAATGGGGCAGGTATGTAATACTGTGAGCCATGTGGAGAGCAAAGAGGTCCAGGAGGTAGTTAGGCAGTGGCCAGGATATGAACAATGGAAGGGCTAAGTACTGTCCTGTTCTGGGTCCAAAAGAACTAAGGGAAGATGATTATTCTTGTACTTTTGAGGCCAATTTAGTGCCTGGAACAGCTCAAGGGGGGTGTTGGGTAGACAGTCTGCTGCTGGACAGCGTAACCACTCACAGAACGTCCAGGAGCAACAGAACCTGTGTGATCCAGAATGATATAACTCCCTGTAAGTCCTATGTAATTTGTATGTTATCCCTGGCTACCAGAATGAACATAGACAATGATCAAACACATGAACACATGTCCAAGTAGGCACCCTTGAAAGTTTTTTCTGTCTTATGTTGTTATTATTTGCATAACATTTTGCCAATGTGTTATGAGTAGATAATTTTTTAAATGGTTGTGTTGTGGGGAATATAAATATCAGGACAATGTTTCTCAAATAGACTGGTGGAAAATAGTCACCTAAATGAGACTATGTTTAGCCAGTTTTGCTGTTTCATGACATGCCGTGTTATTATCATTAATGTTCAGTATAAGTCATCTCTGAAGAAAAGAAAGACTATCTCCTTCCATAAAATCAGCCATTGAAAACACTGTGGAGCACAGTTTTCCTCTAGCACATATGAGGCCACCATGAATTGGAGATGATTTGAGAGTAAACACTTTGGCTACAAGGAGCTCTGGTACTGTAATGGATAACTAGCTGAGCTGCTAACCACCAGGCCAGAAGTTCAAATCTATCAGCTGCTCCATGGGAGAAGGATAAGACGTTCTGTTCCCAAAAAGTTTTACAGCTTTGGAAACCCTATGTTGTTGTTAGGTGCTGTCGAGCCAGTACCAACTCACAGTGACCTTGTGCAAACAGAACGAAACACTGCCCGGTCCTATGCCATTGCTGATGCCAAGGTGCAAATCCATCTCACTGGGGGTCTTCCTCTTTTTATCTCTGCCCCTTCACTTTGCCAAGTATGATGTCCTTCTCCAGACACTGGTCCCTCTTGATAATATGTCTGATGACCATCCTGGCTTTTAAGGCTATACTTCTTATAACACAAATTTGTTGGTTCTTTTGGCAGTCCATGGACCTTTTAATATTCTCCTCCAACAGCATAACTCAAATGCACCAATTCTTCTATGGTCTTTATTCAATGTCTAAATTTCATTTGCATATGACATTACTGAAAATACCATGGCTTGGGTCAGGCACACCTTAGTCCTTAAATGGATGTCTTTGCTCTTGAACACTTTAAAGAGGTTTTATGCAGCCTAACGAAACCCTATACAGGGTCTCAATGAGTTGAAACTGACTCTAGCGTTCATAACCACTAACTACCAACCTACTTTGACTACAATTATATATAGATATAGATATCTAGATGTCCTTTTCATTAGGTATACATAGGGCAAAACATTTAACAGCCCCAGCCTTTTTGATGCAATTCCATAAACGTTTTGACTCATTAAACAGTGGTCAACCCAATTTCTAGCATTAGACAAGCATATGAAATTTTTGTTTTACATGGCACTGAAGAAAATTTTTTTTGTTTTTCTTAGTGATATGTCCAAAGTTACATTTGATTTAGAGATAGAAGTGTTCATTCTATCAGATTTTGTAGTAAGTCATTTAATAAAACATCTTTTTCTTTCCCACCTGGTTGCTGTGTGTAGACACAGCCTCGAACAGCAATTATGGATGTTGTTGGAAGCTTCCAAGGCTGTTATCTTGCTCTGGTTTGGGGAAGTCAGGGCCTAAGGGAGGGTAAAAATAAAAGCAGGAGGAGGAAGTTGAGGAAAGGTCCCATTTAACAAAGAAAGTACAATTGAGTGGGAGTGGAGGCTGGCAATCTACTAAAATGAAATGAAAGGAAATTCTTCATTTGTAAATGGTTCATTGACCCATAATAATAAAGCAGCCTTGCCAAAGAAGGATAATTATCTTTTTAAGTATCAGATGCCCTGTGGGTGAAGGCCTCCCTTCTCCTCTCTTGGAAAAATGAACTCAGATTAAATAAATGCCTCTTTACCTAGTTTACCATTGACAAGAATTTCCTGATTATAAGCAAAATTAATCAGTTTTTCCCTTTCTTTTTCCCCAACTTGCTTATGAAAATCAGGCACGCTTGCTCAGCTGAGGTCCCAGTATTTCCCTTTAGGGCCCTAGTTCTACCAAGTCTGTGATGGGCTAAGGCGGGTGATCTTCTGGTAGAACTAAGAATTGCAGAATTGTCTTTTTATTATGCCCCTTGGCGGCTTAACCCCAGGCAGAAGCATGTTCTTTAAAAAACAAAACAAGAAAAAAAAGTAGTACAGTGTTTTGTTTTTTCTTTCCTGCTGAGACTTGAAAGCTAATCAGATATTAATATGTGTGTGATGAGTTCAAATACAAAAAGGAACAGTGATATTAATTTGCTACCTCTAAGTGATCAACCTTACATCCTTTTTCTCTAGACTTTGTTTGCTCAGATCAATAATGTAAATATGATGATGTCTAATTCACAGAATGCATTAAGATGGTTCATTTGTATAAGGCTTTGCTTAAATTAATGATTTTCCTTCAAATGTCTTCTTGGCGTCTTAATAATCAGTCATAGATTGTCATAAATTGCTTAACCTCACTGCAGAACTCTTGGTTATAGATGAGGTTCAAGGAACATTTTCCAAATGTCTACAATTTAAAAAATAATAATAATAAAAGAAGTACTATTGTATTTCATTACCTATTTCTTTCATTTCTCTACAAAGATATTGTAATTAAATTTTCATAATGAAACCAAACAGCTTCTCCAGTTATTTCTCTAAGGTTTTGGCTAGGGTCAGGAGATAATGGTCCAGAATAGATCTCACCTCACGGCATAATAATCTCAACAAGACCCTTCAGTGTATCTATACTCTAATGTCCCTTTCTCTTGAAAAAAACAGCAAGACAAAAGTCTTCTGAGTACCACATGGTCTCCTTCAGAGTGCAGTTAATCCTATTTAGAACCTCTCTTTGAGCTCTTTGGAATTCAGTGCCTAATAAATATTTGTTTCTTCTTTCCTTCATTGTTGAGAGTTCAGGCCCTGAGCCAAGAGGATTCAATACTGTGAGTATAAACTGATCAGTAAGAGTACTGCCCAAAGCAAACACTGTGTGTGTGTGCCTTAACCGACCTCATGGCAGATGTCCTTGTGTGTCCACTACGGCCCGTGGAGCGTTTTCGAGACCTTCGTCCTGATGAAGTGGCCGATTTGTTTCAGGCCACTCAGAGAGTGGGGACAGTGGTGGAGCAGCATTTCCAAGGGACCTCTCTCACCTTCTCCATGCAGGTGAGTGTTTACATTGCTCCCAATTTTTCTTCCTTTTCAAAGTCTAGCATTGGGTTTACTGTTCCTTTGCATCTGCCATCTCACTGGGAGACAGTAACTGTGGTTGTTCTCATATTATATAATAGCAGAAAATTGTGTTACTGGTCCAGGGTAACCCAATTGTTCAGTGGTCCCAAGATGGCCTGAGATAGTCTCTGTAGCATTGTTTAGAAAGCAGATGGGAATCATGGACGTGTGATTTACTAGAACTGGGGCTCAGTTCTAGAATTGTTTATATTGCTCAGTTAAATGGTATGGGGAGGAAGATGAAGACTACTTTGGGACTTTGCTTGATAGAACACATTACTGTTTCATGTCCATGCCATGGTAAATCCCTCTTGTACACTGCACAGACTAAGCCTTCCTCTAGTTCCAGGGGAGAAGTGATGTGCAAGTTAGGTGGAGCCTTGCCTTCATAGGATTTGGCTTTTTTCTCCCTTTATTTAAGGAGCTCTGGTAGCGTAGTGGTTACAAATCAGGCTGCGAACCTTAAGGCCAGCAGTTTGAAACTACCAGCTGCTCCACGGGAGAAAGATGAGGCTTTCTGCTCCCGTCAAGATTTACAGCCTCGGAAACTCTGTACAGGGTCACTAGGGGTTGGAACCAATTCGATGGCACTTAACAACAACAACATTTCAAGCTTCAATGACTGATCATGGATTTGTTAGGAGCAAGATAGGCTGTTTGATTTGATGTTTGGTTGTTTGTTTGGAATTGTTCTTCTCTAATCCATGTGAGTAAAAGATATCACTATCACCAGAGATCTTTGACAGAGCTCAGGCAAGCATGCATCCAGGTGGTAGAAGTAGGTTTTGGTGGGTCATCAGCTGTGAGTATAGAATAAATTAATAGAACTATATCAACGGCCCATTTAAAGACACTGTGGAAAGAGCTGAGGCTGTCAACTCAACAATGAGTCAAAAGAATAGAGTTCTTTGTGGCTCTGAAATTTTCTGGTTCTGCAATAACCTCTTGGAAAGAAATAAATTGTGCTGTAATTTGGAACTTTGTACTTAGCATGGGATGTTTACCTTCCTTCCTTTGTCCCTAATTGCTCTCCATCATAGACTTCCAAAGAGACCAGATAAAGAAAGTCAGTATTTTTAAACTATAAAAAGTTCTAACTAAAAATGTTAATTTGCTTCTCAAAATGAAAAGAAAAAAAAAAAAAAGCTTTTCTGCCTTATCTGTGCTGAAAGTATCCAAACTTCCCCATAAAATACCATGCATGTGGTAGTGTGGGGGTGGGGGAGGAGATAAACCATATGAGTCACCTTGTTGTTGTTGTTGTTTAGTGCTGAGTTGGTTCCGACTCATAACAACCCTATTTAGGGTTTCCTAGGAGCAGCTAGTGAATTTGAACCACGGATTTTGCCATTCAAACCGACCTTGAATTGCATTGCTTATCCTGCAGCAGCGCAATTGAACTTTGGGCGGGTTTCTCTAGGTTATGCTGTGACTCCTGCATTTAGAAGGTTAAATGATGGCAAGTAAGTGAAGACATCTGTCAGTGTTTAATGAAAAACAGGAAGAAAAGTCCCATTTATAGGAAATGGTCTGTGCTAAGCTGTCTAACATGACTTACTAGGTCGCTAAATGCGTCAATATAAGGACTGCTATGTGCATAGCATTGACAGTGTACATTCATATATATTGTTGTTGTTGTTAAATTCTGAGTCAGTTCTGAGACATAAGGACTCTGTATAAGGTTTCCAAGGAGCAGCTGGTGTGTTTGAACTTGTGACTTGCAGTCCAGTGCTTATCCTGCAGCATCACACCAGGAGTCAACATTCATTCCATAGTTTGTAGGCACCTACAAATCCACATACAAATTGTTGCTGTTAATTGCTGCCAAATCCATTCCAACTCATGACAACTCTATGTTTGCAAATGAGAACTCTGTTCCACAGGGTTTTCAAAGCTGTGATTTTTTGGCAGGAGATGACCAGATCTGTCTCTTGAGGTGCCTCTGGTTGGGTTGGGACCTTTTAGCTAGTATTTGAGAGCTACACCATTTGTACCACCCAGGGACTCCTTTACCACGTATCCATACACCCACTGCCATGGGACAGAGTAGAACAGCTGAGAGTGTCTCAGACTATAAATCTTTATGGGATCAGATAGCACCGCCAGACTCCTTTGTTGTTTTGTTGCTGCTAGGCGCCCTTGAGTAGGTGTCCACTCATAGTGACCTTATACTCAACAGAAATACTACCCTTCCTGCACCATCCTCACAATTGTGGTCATGCTTGAGCCCATTTGTTGTTGTTAAGTGCCATCGAGTCAGCTGATAGGCTTAAGTCACCACCTTATGGTTAGCAACCCAGTGATTATCTTACAGTGCCACACCATTTAGTCCTATAGAAAAAAAAGAAACCTAAGTTTCACATAGCAATGATTTCCTCTAATAGTGTTTGACCTTATATTAGTGTATTCTGATTTCTTTTGTTTCTGATGCACGTCACAACTCATTAAGCAAACTTCATGACCCACTAAAATAGTTGATCTGAACAGCAAGGCCAGTGGTTCAGGCTCACCAGCCACTCCCTGGAAATCATATGCAAGGTTACTATGGATCAGAACTGACTCAATGGCACTTAACAGCAACAATGAATTGTAACTGCAGTTTTGTAAACCACTGACTGAAATTCACACTGCTAATTAATCGTGGTGGTGGTGTGCTGTAGAGTCAATTCCAACTCATAACAACCCTGTACAAGGTTTCCTAGTCTGTAAATCTTTACGGCAGCAGAAAGCATCAT